CCCCCAAAAAAAAAAAAAGATTTGAAAGATTTGGCTGAGACAGGAAATCTTTGCAAACTTAGACCATATTAGAAAACATTCTGAATTGTTTTCATTTTGTTTCTTCCAGTGCAAAGAGGAGTGCTGGATTCATAAAAATATGGAGAACGAAGAGATGAGGGTATCGTCGCTTCTACCCTGTTATCCTGTAGTCCGGTTAAGGCAAATTGCTAAATGCAGGAATCTTTAACTGGCTGCCTAAACCCCAAGAAGTGGGTCAAACACAGCCACAGTGCACGAGTTGGAGTCTCGCTGATGCTAGGGGAGTGCCCGAACTGCTTGGCTTTGGGCGTTCTGAGGCAAATTTCTCTCTCCTGTTGGAGCTGCGCTGTTTGCGTAAAATGCCTAACGTATCTCTGGTAAGGGGAAGGACAGAGACAGAATGACTATAACTGCAACGTTACGGCCCTGGGGAGGTGAGATACCTGCGTTCTGGTCATAGCTCCATGAAATACTTAGTACAAGAGCTCACTCTAGAACACATCCAGTCCGGTGGTGTAGGTGTCTCTAGGTGCTGGAAAATATAAATTCCCTGTGCTAAAGCATCTCTTGCATCCAACAGGCATATCTTTACCATGATGCTATTATATCAAATCAGGCAAACTGTACCACTTCTACCTTGTTACTGCTTCTGTTAACTGTGGTTAAAATCTAGCTCTTCAGGCCCTCTATTCTGCTTTTGTTAAAATTACATGAAGTTAAAATAACTTGTTTTTCTTGTTAGGGGAAAAAATTCTCACGTTTAAAATTTGGTTCAATCCATGATGCCTTTTTTTAGTTCAGAAACTGAATCAAAAAATCAATTTTTCACATAGCCCTACCAGTGACTGGCTCATTTTTCTCTTTTCAATATGCTTTGTCTCCTTCACATACACATTCAGTGTACGAGTCACTGAATGATGATGTCTCTTCCAAGAAAACTGTTCTACATTTAACTATTTTAGAGCACTAAGAGCATGGCTGCTGAAACAGAAAACCCTTTTTTGCGCATAGCAACACTTTTCAGTATTTTTCAAAACTCAGCAAGCCCATGAAGTCGTCCAGCTCTGACTATATGAAATTATGATCTTCTCTACTTTACAAAAAAGTCCTAATATTAGTAGCGTTCAGTATTTACATAGTACTTTACTGACTAATCCTCAAATATCCACAAAGAATAAAAATACTATCCTCACTTTACAGATTAAACAGTAGTATTTGTGCTGTATATTGACTTATTCAGCTGGCATTTTGAAAGTCTGTATTAAACAGATTATAATGTTCTTTAAAATCAGTCTCTGTTTAAACAATCTTTTAGGACATTGGACCTAACTCTGAAAATCGTCTGAAGAGACTGCTCAGGTAATAAAACTCAGTATGCAACTAAAACAATTTATAAGTTCGATACCTACGTCCTGAAGGTAAATCTTCAAGAAAATTTAGATTATCAGTCTGCCACTACAGTGAAAATCCTACCTGAAAAAAAAATTAAATACATGTAAAGGGTTTTCTTTTCTGTGCTGGGTGGTTGTGAAAAAAAAAAAAAAGTCTTTTTTTCTTTTTGTTTCCTCAGGCTGGGATGGTCTCGATGCAGAACAGCAAGAGGCCAGGGGGGAAACTGCCAAAACTTGGA